ATAAGCTGCATTTAACTCTTGCAGCTTTCCTTTCCCCCTTAACCTGAAGCCCTCCACGATGACTGGGACTCGTGACTCCATTGGGGAAAAGCAATGCGATTTGCTACAATTGTCTCTCAACAAAGTCATCTAAAATTGCGAAAAAATGAGGACAAATTGTATTATAAATTATTTGCCTTGCAAGGTTTGAAAAAGTACGAAACGTCACCAAGTGAAAATTGAGTTTTCTGTTTTCTTGCCAGTCCTATAACCCACATCAAATTCCATAAATTATAATAAAACAATTAGTGTTGAGCTGATGACAAATTTTGAGAGCAGAACAGAGCAAAAACTGAAGAATACGCATGCGTAGCGATTCTCAAACATGGAGCACTTGGATTCAAGAGAGCGTTCTTTTTTGGGAGTTAGGGAGGATTTTCATACGTCAAATTTTCGAACCAATGTCAAAAAAGTGCGAATTTCGCAGTTATGAGTACTAGGCTTAAGGGAGGATTTTCATGCATCCGTTTTTCCGGCGAAATATGTCCGTTTAACATTCTATTCTGACATAATCGTATATAAATATGTCAAAATAGAATGTTAAACGGACATATTTCGACGGAAACACGGATGCATGAAAATCCTCCCTAGGGACTCTTGAAAGGAATACAACTATTCGTTCAAATACTATAGCGCTTTCGACTTTTGCCTCAAAACTGCACCCGATTGATCAAAAAGCGATTCGAAACGGATTCATATGTTCGGCTTAAAACGCAGCATTGCTCTCGGCGAAATTCAGGTGTTCGACTTGAGCAATAGAACGCTCTCAAATCTCTTTCTTCCTACGTCAAATTCGATGGATCAAAGAGTTTGATCAAAACAATAAAGTACGTTCGGCTATTGATTTGAAATGGTGTGCCCCCGTTTGGATTAAATCGCTCTCGAAGCACTACTGCAAAGATCTCGATCCTGACGTCACCGCCAAGATAGGGACCGCTCTGGGAGCAGTAAAGCCGAAGTTATAACCCAAATACAAGAATTGTGTGGACTAACAGATGGTTCGAACAAATAATTTGTGTGATCAGTGGCGCAGCCAGAAATTTTGTCTGGAGGGGACCATGCAAAAAAAATTATAGGAGACAGACCACCTATCCTTTAGAGGGGGTGTAAGCCAAAAATCAAAATTTCTACGTATAACAAATTCTAAGAATAATATTTCAAGCCGCACCATTTTATGCCTGACGGTTTTTGAGACATTTGCAAAATAACCATGGAAGCGTGACGTCACAACTGCTCGGATACCGTAGAGTCAGAGTAAAAAAATCCTACGATTCTCATTTAAATACTGGTTGACTCGAATAGCTGAAACGAAACATGGCTTTGGTTTTGAACCAAAGTATGTACAGGGTAATTTTTTATATTTTCCCACCCCCCTTAACTTTTTTGTGCCACTGTGTATAAAAAAAAAAATTAAATAGGAAAGTTGTAGTGCTTGAAAAATAGTTCTGAGAAAACAGTTTTGTTTATACAGGGTGTTGCAAAGAGTTTTAATTGTGTATATTATGCCATTTTTGGATTCTGCGGAAAATTCTAGACATATTTCATGCATAATGTTATATACCTATCTTCAACTGTTTTGGAAATAATGACAGTAGAAAATTGACTTTTTTGCATCTTTGACAGACTGTAAAACCTAAACGGTTAATTTCAAAGGAAAACCGATTTTACATTCCTTTCTTAGATTTTCATAAGCTATCATTTGACACCAACCTTGAATTTAATCCATGATTAAAAATTCCAATTAAATTTAATCTCGGATTGAATTCAAAGTTGGAGTCAAATGATAGCTTATGAAAATCTAAGATAGGAATGTAAGATCGGTTTTGCTGTAAAATTGACAGTTTAGGTTTTACAGCCTCTCAAAGTTGCATAAAAGTCAATGTTCTACTGTCATTATTTCCGAAACAGTTGAAGATAGGTATATGACATTATACATGAAATACGTCTAGAATTTTCCGCAGAATCCAGAAATGTCAAAATATACAGGGTGTCCCATTTAAAAAAATATATGTTTTTGTTTTTTTTTTTAAACTCTTTGCAACACCCTGTATGAACAAAACTATATTTTCTGAGAACTATTTTTCAAGCACTACACCTTTCCTATTTACATTTTTTTTATACACGGTGGCACAAAAAAGTTAAAGGGGGTGGGAAAATATAAAAAATGACCCTGTACATACTACAAGCGGAATCTGTTGGGCTCCACACGTGAATGTGACGTCACGTCTACGTTTTGTTGCAAACACTAAAGACTTATATCTTCCGATAGAAATTTGGCAGAGAGGCGAGGTTTTCGATGTTGTTCTTGGAGTTTTTTTACATATTATAAACCAGATAGATACGTATTTTTGGTTTACACCCCATAAGCTTTTTATGATATGAGCAGTTTACAGCTTTTGTCTACTTCATCTTCATTATTTTTCTATTTTTCTCTGAAGCCTTGGGAGGGCCCCTGCCCCCCCCCCCCCTGGCTGCGCCACTGTGCGTGATTTCAATTTTTTGGAAAACTTGAAATTTTTTTCTGTGATATGCGAAAAGAGATTTTTGAAATAAAAATATATAATCCTATTATCCAAGCAATAAGGGGAAGGATATAATATGAGTCGCTTCCAGTGACGCACTTTAAGCACGTACTGCTGAACTAGTCTAGAGCGCCCCGTGCTTTTTATAGGCGTTCCAGTGCTTCAGAGTTTCGCGCAACTAAACTGTTCGATTTTCCTCTCCCCTACCTTCTCAAGCACCAACAATTTTGTGGTTGCATCAAAAACACGACGCTTGAAGTAGGGTGCGTTCCAGTGGAACAACAGTTGTTTGGAGCACCAGAGTGTGAAGCTATGGGTGGGGAGCACCTTAAAATTCGTCACTGGAATGCGGCTATGATGAAGTGAAACCGCGGGTAGACGTGTGCCGCATATATCCAATCTAGAAACGTACATGTTCTTGGGATCATCGCAAATCGGCGCAGCGCACGCACGTTTGCAGTCGTGCACCAAGGAAATATCAAACATGCAACGTGCAACGTGCGACATGAAGTAAATACCGCAGTGCGATGTGCGATGATCCCGAGAACATGTAGGTTTTTACATTGGATATATGCGGCACAAGTCTACCCGCGGTATTTACTTCACGTCGCACGTTGCATAATGTTGCATGTTTGATGTTTCCTTGGTGTACGACCGCAAAAACTTTTGAGGCTTCCCCCTTAACGTCCTGAAGACCCCCACGATTGAGACTCGTGCCTCCATTGAGGAAAAGCCGAGGGAAAAGCAATGCGATTGGCTAAAATTGTCTCTCAGCAAAGTCATCCAAAATTACGAAAAAATGATAACAAATTATATTGTAAATTATTCGCCTTGCAAGATTTGAAAAAGTATGTACAAAACGTGACCAAGTAAAAATTGAGTTTTCTTGTTTTCTTGTCAAGTCCTATAGCCCACATCAAATCCATAAATTAGCATAAATCAATTAATATTGAGCTTATGACAACAGAATACAGAGCAATTTTTTGGAAAACTTGCAATTTTTGTTTGTGATATTGTTTGTTCTCGGTATCATCGCACATCGGCGCAGCGCACGTACGTTTGCGGTCGTCCACCAAGGAAAGATCAAACATGCAAGATGCAACGTGCGAGATGAAGTAAATACCGCAGTGCGATGTGACCGCAAAAACTTTCGGAGCTCCCCCCACAACCCCGAAGCCCACCTCGATGATTGGGACTCATTACTCCATCGGGGAAATGCAATGCGATTGGCCAAAATTGACTCTCAACAAAGTCTTCCAAAATTGCGAAAAAGTGAACACAATATTATAAATTATTTGCCTTGCAAGGTTTGGAAAAGTACGAAACGTCACCAAGTGAAAACTGAGTTTTCTTACCAAAGTTCTTTAACCCGCATCAAATCCATAAGTTAAATAAATTATAATGAAACAATTAATGTTGGGCTCATGACAAATTTTAAGAACAGAACAAAAACTAAAGAATACGCATGCGTAGCGAAACTCAAACATGGAGCCCTTGGATTCAAAATAGCGTTCTTTTTTGGTTACAGCCTCTCTGTCGGTGTTCCTGTAAAAGTAACCTCAAAAGTTCATCATCTGAGAAGGAAAGAAAACTGGCGCTAACGCTAGAGTTCGACCTAGAGCTGGATAAAGTATCTTCGTCGCTCGCCATTCAAACTATTACCAAATAATTTAAATACTTACTCCAGATTCCATTTTACAATTCCACTTTTTTCAATAAGCACTTCCAAAATTACAATTAATAGAACAAACTATTAAACAAAAATCATCCGAACTACTGGTCAAAAAAAACCTCTTCCACAAATTCGTCCAAATACTTATAGCGTTTTCGGTTTTTGCCTCAAAACTGCACCCAATTGATCAAAAAGCGATCCGAACAGTTCAAAACCGATGGTCCGAACAAAGAATTTGTGTGATAATTTTGATTTTTTGGAATACTTGCCATTTATTTTTTTGATATAAAAGTAGCAATTTTAGGAAAAAAACTTTATAATCCTATTATCCAAGCAATAAGTGGAAGGATATTATATTGTAATACACTTTTGTTCTGGAATAATTTCGTCCATAATAGTTGTATTTTTTTCACACCTAAGAGGAACTCCGGAACAGCTCTGGGACGTTACGCGTGTGTTTGTTGCACCTGTGCTCAAGCCTGAACTCAACCATTTAAAATGCCCGAAAGCCAGGGCTTCTGTTCCTTTCAAATCGGGGTCGACTAACACCGGAGCGAGTGGTTCTGGTGTTCTAAACTGTTGCTAGGAATACAACTATTATCGTTCTGGTTCTGTCTTTAGGAAATTAACCAACTTGTCCAAAATGCGCATTAAAAACCAAAATTTTATTAGTCCTTGAAGTGTTCGTATGTATTATCATATACATCCATTAATTACTTTTCAGTTGATTTAAATTTCGCGCGGTCTAAAATAAATGTATTTCCGTCTGTCAGTCTCAAATGTCAACGGACTTCACATGGCTGGATCTTTTTAAGGTTAACTTCCTCTACTGACACTCTTTGATAAAATGGCACCACCAAAGCCAAAATCGGCTGAAAAGCCAGGTAAGATTTAACTTAAATAAAAACAATTTATATTAAGAAAAACTATAAATTTCAAGCTTTCAAATGATATAATTTTTTTCGATATCTTCGAGATTTATTAGGAAAAACAGTTGGGTTGATTCACAGGGAAATTAGTCAGTCCCATCAGGCAATGTTACCACATGGTAAACAATAATTATTTTGATCATTAGAAGATATTCAATTAAGAATGATGATATTTAGTTGGGAATCTCTTTGAATACCCTGAAAACAAAAAAAATTAAACAACACTGATGTCCTTTGCTCGATATTTTATATTGTAAATGTAGGGTTAAAAATGTCCTACACTACACTTCTCTTTTTTTAGCTGCCAAAAAAGATGACAAAAAGAAACCAGCGTCCGCTACGGCATCAGGTTCCGCGTCTGCCCCAGGATCCTCTGCAGCCCCAAAGGCTGCGGGCAAGCCGGCTACCAAGCCTGCAGCAGCCAAGCCTGGAGCAGCCAAACCTGCATCAGCCAAAGCTGCGGGAGCCAAACCAGCAGCAGCAAAACCAGCTTCTGCCAAGACCCCAGCGGCGGCCCCAAAAACCAGCAAAGCACCTTCAAAGGGCGCTGCCAAAGGTTAGTTAGTGCCATGTGCATTAGTAAATTCAATTAAATACTTCAATTAAGTGTTACTTGTGTGTGCTACTGATTAGTAGCAGTTTAAGCTAGTGCTACCAGTTTGTGTTGGTATTTGAAGTAATTGCAACCTGGAACGTTTTCTCTCGGCCCATTATCTTGTTACCATTTTATCTTGGGACATACTTGACAATCTTTATCGTAGAATTAATTTTAGACTTCTGTGGGGCTCGAGGTAACAAACAAGATCAATTTTGCACTTCTTAGCTTATGTTTATAAGTTTGATCGTTATATTTACTATGACAAGAAAAACCGGCAGAGAATTGTCCTAAAATTACTTGGAGATATTAAATTTTAAAAAATCACCTTTTAGTCAAAACCAAAACGTACAGCATTATAAAATCTCATCTAAACACAATTTCAAGCCTATACAGATAGTTCTGATAAATGAATGATACAAATGCCTGATTCAATATATTTTTTGTTTTATAGCTTTAATTTGCTTTGCTAAAATGTTGCCAATTTTATGTCGTTATAACTTGAAACAAGACTTGAAGGCATTTCAACTTGTTGCTCAGTCTTTGTATGGGTGCCTCACATGATTTATTCAATTTAATTGAGTTTGATTTTTGTGGATATATTTACATGAAAACTGTATGTAGGTATATGATTTAGAACCTATATTTTGCATTTCTTTAGAGAAAAGCATATCGGATGGACATATCCACAGTTTCTTTTAAAGTATTATCAGAATAAATTTTGAATTACATATAAGTAATAAGCGAGAATAAGGTTTCTTGAACAAACGATCATTATCAATCTTGTTTCCACATTTCAAAAGTGCTTTTTAATAGTGTTTTCATAATAATTCGGATGACTTTTTCTCCATTTTATATTGTTTTTCACAAAATTTTGGTTTAAATATGAAATGGCAAGAAATTTATTTTTCAATTCAAAATTTAATTTCGTAGTTTGAACCATGATTTGGGTATTATAAACCGCTGTTGTATGTTGTTTGTTTTGGAACAACAGGTTTATAACTGGGTTGTCCTTTAATGGGAAAAAAATCCAGCCCTATAAGTACATACTTAATAATTAGGTGCCAATCTAATACGGCCTCCAATTTAAAATAAGGTGATCTCCAGTTTTCGAGAAAATAGGGACCGCTGAGTTTATTAAAGCTTGTAGCGCCCCATAATAAATGGTATTTTCAAAATTTTGTTATTATCAAAATTAAGTGCTTTGCAAGGTGGTTCTCAATAAATAAAATCAAATAGATATACATACTTAAGTTTATAGCAATTTTGTTTCCATGTTAGGGACTGCTAGCTAGCTTCACATTTACTAGTTGATGCATAAATCAGTGACCAAAATATTTTTGTTTAGGAGAAACCTGTGTGGTTTTCAGATACAAAAACTCAAACAATTCAATTAGTAATCAGATTACAGAGTGTTTTATTATTAGGGACTGCTGGCTTTACATGTTTGCATTCAAAGCACAGATGTCAGTGGTCAAGTGTTTTTGTAAAGAAATCCTTTTTAAGTGCTTAATATTTAATAAAATATATATGAACACATAGAGTGTTCATTTTAAAACTTACCACCCCTATTATCTCGGAGGAGAAATTTTTTTGAGAAAATCCCTGAAACACATTAACTATAATTTGAGGGGGATGAGTTTTTACGCTAAATTCACCTCCCGCTTTCAACCCCACAGCCACCCCCTAGAAAAAATGAAATGGGAAGTGGGGTCAAGTGGTACATCATTTTGGAGGGTTTTTAATTCCATACATTTTGGTACTAAATTTCAATCCCCAAGTTCAACTGTTTTGGAAATATTGACAGTTGAAAATTGACTTTTTTTAATTTTTTGCAACTTTGACAGGCTGTAAAACCTAAACGGTTAATTTTAAAGGAAAGCCGATCTCACATTCTTGTCTTAGATTTTTATAAACTATCATTTGACAACAACTTTGAATTTAATCCATGATCAAAAATTAAAGTTAAAATAGTTGGTGTGAAATGATAGGTAGTTTATGAAAATCTAAGATAAGGATGTAAGATCGGTTTTTCTCGGAAATTAACCGTTTAGGTTTTATAGACTGTCAAGGTAGCAAAAAAGGCAATTTTCAACTGTCAATATTTCCAAAACAGTTGAACTTACGGATTAAAATTTAGTACCAAAATGTATGGAATTTAAAACCCTCCAAAATGATGTATCACTTGACGCCCCATTTCAGATTTTCTAGGGGGTGGCTGTGGTGGCTGGGGGGTTGGAAGGGGAGAGGTGAATTTTGCATAAAAACTCATCCTCCCTCAAATTATAGTTGACGTGTTCCCAAAAAAATTTCTCCTCCGAGATAATAGTGGTGGTAAGTTTTAAAATGAACACCCTGTATATCTGTTGCTATACAGGGTGTCCCTCCGGGAACCACATCGATCTATATGTATATGAAAAACTGTATGCAGAAAATTTTTGAAAATTTGACAGTATGGTGGCACACTTCCGGCTATACTGGAAGTAGATGTCAACTTGCTCATTTTTAATGAGACACCCTGTATATGATTGCATATTTGGATTCTACGTAAAATTATTTCATGTGATACTATGTTAAACTGTTTCGATAATATTGACTTTCAAAAATTGACTTTTTGCAACTTTGACTAGGTTGGTTAAGTCAGCCTCCCCCACTAAAAATTTTTAGATGAAAAGTTATCTATAATTTTGCTTTTATTTTGCTCCATAATTTTAAATTTTGATCCATTATGCTTTAGAGACTATAGCAATTTTAAAGTGGGGGGGGGGCTAAGTTAATGGTAACCCCTCCCACCACTTTTTTCCCTTTCTGACTGTGAATTTTTATTCTACTAATTTTACACACACAACTGTTCCGTAGTTACATAGGTTTCAAATATATAAATCGGCCCCCCCACCACTTTTTTCCCCTATTTCGCAATGGATTCTTATACTACTAATTTTGCTCCACAACTGTTCTGTAGTTACAGAAGTATGAAAAATATTCATCAGCCCCCCCACCACTTTTTTTCCCAATCTGACATATGGATTCTTATACTACTAATTTTGCTTCATTTTGCTCCGTTATTGAAAAACTTTGCTCCACAACCGTTCCGTAGTTACAGAGGTTTAAAAAATATTGATCAGCCTCCCTCAACCATATTTTTCCCTATCTGACAGTGGATTCTTTTACTAATAATTTTGCTCCCTTAATGAAAAATTTTGCTCCAAAACGGTTCATTTTTGAGGAAAACCGATTTTACATTCCTATTTTAGATTTTCATAAACTATCATTTGACACCAACTTTGAATTTAATCGGAGATTAATTTTAATTGGAATTTTTAATCATGGATTTAATTCAAAGTTGGTGTTAAATGATAGTTTATGAAAATCTAAGATAAGAATGTAAAATCGGTTTTCCTCTAAAATTAATCGTTTAGGTTTTACAGCCTGTCAAAGTTGCAAAAAGTCAATTTTGACTGTCAATATTTCCAAAACAGTTGAACTTAGGTATAGGGTATATCACATGAAATCTGCTCAGAATTTTATGTAGAATTCAAATATGCAATCACATAAAGAGTGTCTCATTCAAAATAAGGAATAACAAACCAGCAATATTTTAGCCGGGTTGCCCTCATTGACATTAGTATACTGTCAAATTTTCAAAAATTTTCTGCATACAGTTTTTCACATATATATCTATGTGGTTCCTGGTGGGACACCCTGTATATCTGTGAACTGTTACTGTATTATAATATTAATAAAATTGAAATATGTTAATTAGGACCCAAATTACAGATGTGTTGAAATTTGGGGACTCCTGGCTTTTTATGCACTTGGTGATGTGTTTAAAGCAAAGCTGATGTCCTATGTCAGTGGCAGGCGCTTTTTGAGTGAAAAACTCAAATAGAACCTAAATTACAGGTTTTCTTAATAATTGCTTCAAATACACCACTGAATAAATATAATATGTGAAGCTTCATATTGAAAAAATCTGTGGTTTGGTTACTTATCAACTTATTTGAGTTTTCCATTCAGTATTATGGAGCAATTGGAAAGCACAGTTCCTGGTACAAAAATATGGCCACTGACATTGGCTTAGCTTTAAATACACCACTAAGTATGAGGGGTGAACAAATCCAAAACTGTTTTACATCTCTTGCCAAAAAAAGGTGATTTTTCAATACCTGGGTGGTCCTACCAATTCCTGTACTGTCAGGTCCTGCATAGTGTTGTAAGTGATGGAACGTTCCCGTTTATTCTCAAAGAACTTTCGCGAACGTTCAAGACTTAGTGGGAACGTTCCTTCTCAATAGCACGAATCAGCACGAACGAGAATGCTCCTTGATAAAAATTACCACAATAAATAACATTTATTTTCCAACACTGGGGATCGAGAAAAATTCCTGACAGTCGACAGCCGACCAACAGGGTTTGGTTTCAGGGTCCACTTCTGTTTGCCGGTTTTTCATTTAGTATTCATTTTGAAGCGTTCAAATAGGTCTGTTTCTGCAGAAATCACAAACCAGTCGGAGCAAATTTCATTGGTTGAAAACAGTCAGAAACAATCTGAAAACTAGTTTCAACCAATGAAGTTCAGTTTGGCTAGTTTGCAATTTCTGTGCGAACAGACCTATTAGTATAGTGTTTACTTTTTATTGAAAATGCCTAGGAAAAAGTGTAATATTTTCAAGTTTTTTGTGTTAATATCGATAGCTTCCACAAGTTCGCCATCTCCTATAGAAACACTTTATTCATAGATCTACCAAAATATAGGCAGATAGTTTTTTCATTTTATATTCCATTACTGTTTTTCTTTCATGTAAAAAGCACCTCTTCAGGTATGTCATGTTAAAGTGGGTTCTACACTTAATATAAAGGTGAGAGGCCTAGATGGTAATAACTTAATTTATAGAAATTTTGTTTCAAGGCCTTTTGCCTCTACACCTGTAATGGGTTGTAAGTATCTTGGCTTTGCTCTACTGTTAAATAAAAGTTGGTTATCTTACAACATAAGTTGAAAAGTCTTGAATTGATAATATATATATTTTTTTAAAATTGTATTACTTTGAATGCTAAATGAAGTTTAATGTCTGGTAGAACCCACCTCGACTTGATTGAATATAAAATTATTTTTTCTGCAAAGGGAATTGAGGTAAAATTCACACTTGGAAGATGTGTTTGCAAAATAGAAGAAGGAAAATTGATCAGGGACAAGGGAAAACGTTCCGTGTAGACGGACTCTACTTACTTGCATACAGAATGCAAGACAAATATACCAAAGGCTATATGAAAATGTTTTTCGAATATTTGTAGTTTTAATTAGTCTATATTATATTCTTTGGTAAAGAATTATAGATTTTTTGTTGTTCCTCACCTGTCTGAAGCTGCTTGCCAATACTAAGTAAAAAAAGTACTCTAAATCTGAAATAACCCTTTTATTTCAGGTGCTGCTAAACCTGCAGCTAAAGCTGCTGCTGGCAAAAAACCAGCCAAGGCTGGTGCAGCAAAGGTACCACCAAAGCCCTTGTTGGCAAAGCCAAAGAAGAACGTGCCAGTTAAGCAACAGGGCAAACTGGGTGCTAAGGCCAGTGCTAAGACCGCGCCAGCTATAGCTAAAGCAATGGCAGTCAAGAAGAAGGTAAACATAACAAACAAAAAAATTATAGAAAGTTTCAAGTTATTTTTGTAGGTCATTAAAGGTCCAAATGGAACCCATGCACGTGTAATCAGGACCAGTGTACATTTCCACAGGCCTAAGACTCTAAGGCCGCCAAGGAATCCTAAATATCCCAGGAAGAGTGTACCTACTAGGTTAGTTTTTTTTTCCAAATTACATGCCAGAATTAATCATTGAATGTAGTATTTAACTCAAATTTTCTGTTCCAGATCTCGCATGGATGCTTACAATATCATCAAATACCCATTAACAACTGAGGCAGCCATGAAAAAGATTGAAGACAATAACACCCTCGTCTTCTTGGTACACACCCGTTCAAATAAAAATCATATTCGGGCTGCAGTGAAAAAATTGTACGACATCAATGTGGCTAAAGTAAACACTTTGATCAGACCTGATGGAAAGAAGAAGGCCTATGTTAGATTAGCAAGGGACTACGATGCACTAGATGTAGCAAACAAAATTGGCATCATATAAATTATATGATGAAAAATGAATTTAGAGTTAACTTGACTCCAAATTCAATTTGTAAAATAGGTTTGGTTTTCTAACTAAAAATAAAACCATAAAAAACTATATAACATATTTTATTTTTCCTTAATAACAACAATAATTAGTTAATTAGTATGTATATAAAAATCCTAAAATTCTGTTAAAACAGCAAATATTAAATTAGGCAATCGTACGAGCTGTCAAAAATGGTGCCTTGTTGTATGGCGTCTGAATGGCAAAGTCATGTTTGGATTACCTAATAGACATAGTATCTTTATGCTCGGGAGGACCTCTAGGCCATGTAGACCAAGTGTTAACATATGCACCAAGTTAAATTTTTTTTTTGTTTCACTAGCTCAATATTAAATTTAGAAAAAATATATGGTACTTAAATATTTTCACAGTAAAAGGGAAGTGATATACATTTTTATAAATGTGTCCTTTTACTTACAAGCTTTGGTATGCAATAATGAACCAATAAAACTAAAATCGTAGTTTGACACCTTCTACAGTTTACAAGCTAAACCTTGAAACTTTGAGAAATTAATAAAGTAAGTGCTTTTTGATTTAAAAAGCATTAAAAATCAATATATATATTCGAGAAAATAGAAGATACAGCAATACAAGCACTGCACAAATTCAGTGGCGTGTTTCTCATGATAAATTCTCACTTTTCGGAAGAACCAAAAATGACAATGGCCAAACGCAAGCTTTCATGTAATAATTCAGTGTATAAAAAATAAGGAAATCATGTAAAGTGTAAATATCTAGAAAAATAATTTGTGCTACTTAGTTTCTTAGTTACATATCTTAATTATCACAAAGGCGGCCTTATAATATCTATGTCCTTTTGTCAGTTGATAGGACTGACTGTGAATACAAAAACAGTAACAGTTTCAACTTCTCACAAAAATTATTCAAATATTTTTGAGAAATGCGACAATAATTATTGGAGGTTATTGATTTTTTATTCTTTTTAAAACAAAATTCACTTGTATTATACCGTATATGATTTCACTTTAGCCTGGGTTGAAGTGAACAAATTGATTTCAAAAATTGTACCTTCGTTATCTGATAATATGCATTTGGCAGTGAAATATTTTCTTCAACCATATATTATAAAAAGTCATGAAAACGTGAACTCAAGCATAAAATAATAAGGGACGCTTATAATTATTTATGTTTTTGAAAATTCTTCATGAATAGGCTTTAGAGGAATCTGAATATGTAGATATTTTTTTTGGCCCTGAGGTAAAAGAGCGGGGTCAGATAGATTCTTCATCAGATCTGAGTGGTCAATCTAGCTTCTTTGCTACAGTGATAGCGGATAATATAAACAGGTATATCTCGTAAGTGTTAGTGATAGCGTGTTATGTCATCATGGATATTGGTCTATAGTCTTGAAATTATTTTATAATACATTTATTTACCTGTATTGTTTTTTTGCAGGTACAGGTTTTTCAGTAAGTTGACATTGAAAGATATGTAAGTTAGTTATCAAAAAAGTGTACTAACTAATTCAGTCAATAGAGTCCGTTAAGGCTTGTTTACACGTGTCAAGTTGTGGGTCGAATAACTTGCCATCGCACTTGCCTGGTTATGTTCTACTTGACGTAACTCACCGACAAGAAAAGCAAACGCGTTTTTACGTGTAATTCAGTAAGGGCGCAAGTCGATTCAACATGGCGGAACCAAACCTGTTTTATTTAACTTCACTTTAGCTTAACTTGTCTAATTTGGTCAAGTAGAGGAGCAAGTGATAAAAGTGGCAGTGGAAGTGACAATCAAGTCAAGCTAGTTATCCACCGTGCAAACTCACGTGCCTTGCTCCACTACTTGATGCAAGTCATTACTTGACTTGACCAGAACTATTTACACGATGCAAGTAAAAAAATAATTAACTCTACCATTCTACATGACCGTTTACTTGTGCCGTGTAAACCTCGCTTTAGTACTATTCAGATACTTTATTGATGTTACCGCGAAATTTTGGGGCTTGATTAAAGGGGGTGTGACTCAAAAATAAAAGTTTTAGTGCAAAAAAATCTAAGCAAAAATATTTGAACCGCATCTTGCTGCGATGGTCCATTTTCGAGTTGGGGCGGTTTAAAGTTACAACTAGGTGTTTGTGACGTCACACTGGATTATCAGCTGTCAGTATTAACACGTGTAAGAATTTTCCAAAACGACTGAACGAACAGAAGACTGCGATTTCGGCGGTTGTGACATCACGAGTTCCTGCATAATTTATCCGAGAATTTATCTTCACACGGAATTTTCGCTGAGACTATTTTGAATACAGGACTGCGGTTTTCACGAGAGATCTTAGATTTTGCTTGTAAAGCGAACTTCCATTGCTCATAATTTTCTCGCATTTTCAGTTTGTCAATGGACGATATCTGGTAAGCAGCCATCCTGAGTTCACAAGCAAAAAAATCGTCTTCGGCAATGTTAAAACAAATATGGTCCCATAACCTCTTGTTAATCAAGCCCCAAAACTTCTTGGTAACGCCAATAAAGTATCTGAATAGCACTAAAGCGAGGTTTACACGATTGCAGCCCATAGTTCTAATTCAAAGTATGCTTGTACAGCGAACTTCCATTGCTCATAATTTTCTCGCCCTTTCAATTTGTCAATGGATGATATCTGGTAAGCAGACACCCTGAGCTCACAAGCAAAAAAATCGTCTTTTGCAATGTTAAACATATATGGGGTTTTCTGGTCCCATAACCTCTTGTTAAGCAAGCTCCAAAACTTCTCGGTAACGCCAATAAAGTATCTGAATAGCACTAAAGCGGGGTTTACACGATTGCAGCCCATAGTTCTTCCAATTCAAAGTATGCTTGTACAGCGAAAGCAAACTTCCATTACTCATAATTTTCTCGCCTTTTCAGTTTGTCAATAGACGATATCTGATCAGCAGCCTCCTGAGTTCACGAGTAAAAAAATCGTCTTCGGCAATGTTAAACAAATATGAGGTTTTCTGGTCCCATAGCCTCTTGTTAATCAAGCCCCAAAGCTTCTTGGTAACGCCAATAAAGTATCTGAATAGCACTTAAGCGGGGTTTACACAATTGCAGCCCATAATTCTTCGAATTCAAAGTATGCTTGTACAGCGAACTTCCATTGCTCATACTTTTCTCGCCTTTTCAGTTTGTCAATGGACGATACCTGATAAGCAGACATCCTGAGTCCACAACAAAAAAATCGTCTTCGGCAATGTTAAACAATTATGAGGTTTTGTGGTCCCATAACCTCTTGTTAATCAAGCCCCAAAACTTCTTGGTAACGCCAATAAAGTATCTGAATAGCACTAAAGCGGGGTTTACACGATTGCAGCCCATAGTTCTTCCAATTCAAAGTATGCTTGTACAGCGAAAGCAAACTTCCATTACTCATAATTTTCTCGACCTTTCAATTTGTCAATGGACGATATCTGATAACCAGACACCCTGAGTTCACAAGCAAAAAAATCGTCTTCGGCAATGTTAAACAATTATGAGGTTTTCTGGTCCCATAACCTCTTGTTAACCAAGCCCTAAAACTTGTTGGTAACGCCAATAAAGTATCTGAATAGTACTAAAGCGGGATTTACACGATTGCAGCCCATAGTTCTTCCAATTCAAAGTATGCTTGTACAGCGAACTTCCATTGCTCATAATTTTTTCGCCTTTTCAGTTTGTCAATGGACAATACCTGATAAGCAGACATCCTGAGTTCACAACAAAAAAATCGTCTTCGGCAATGTTAAACAATTATGAGGTTTTGTGGTCCCATAACCTCTTGTTAATCAAGCCCCAAAACTTCTTGGTAACGCCAATAAAGTATCTGAATAGCACTAAAGCGGGGCGTACACGATTGCAGCCCATAGTTCTTCCAATTCAAAGTATGCTTATACAGCGAACTTCCATTGCTCATAATTTTCTCACCTTTTCAGTTTGTCAATGGACGATATCCGATAAGCAGACACCCTGAGTTCACGACCAAAAAAATCGTCTTCGGCAATGTTAAACAATTACCAGGTTTTCTGGTCCCATAACCTCTTGTTAATCAAGCCCCAAAACTTCTTGGTAACGCGTAAAATAGCACTAAAGCGGGGTTTACACGATTGCATCCCATAGTTCTTCCAATTGAGAGTATGCTTGTAGAGCGAACTTCCACTGCTCATAATTTTCTTGTCCTTTCAATTTGTCAAAGGACGATATCTGATAAGCAGACACCCTGAGCTCACAAGCAAAAAAATCGTCTTCTGCAATGTTAAACAAATATGGGGTTTTCTGGTCCCATAACCTCTTGTCAATCAAGCTCCAAAACTTCTCCGTAACGCCAATAAAGTATCTGAATAGCACTAAAGCGGGGTTTACACGATTGCAGCCCATAGTTCTTCCAATTCAAAGTATGCTTGTACAGCGAAAGCAAACTTCCATTACTCATAATTTTCTCGCCCTTTAAATTTGTCAATGGACGATATCTGACAAGCAGCCATCGTGAGTTCACAAGCAAAAAAAACGTCTTCGGCAATGTTAAACAATTATGAGGTTTTCTGATCCCATAACCTCTTGTTTATCAAGCCCCAAAGCTTCTTGGTAACGCCAATAAAGAATCTGAATAGCACTAAAGCGAGGTTTATACGATTGCACCCCATAGTTCTTCCAATTCAAAGTATGCTTGTACAGCGAACGCACACTTCCATTACTCATAATATTCTCGTCCTTTCAATTTGTCAATGGACGATATCTGATAAGCAGACACCCTCAGTTCACAAGATTATGAGGTTTTCTGGTCCCATAACCTCTTGTTAATTAAGCCCCAAAACTTCTTCGTAACGCCAATAAAGTATCTGAATCGCACTAAAGCGAGGTTTACACGATTGCAGTCTATAGTTCTTCGAATTCAAAGTATGCTTGTACAGGGAACTTCCATTGCTCATACTTTTCTCGCCTTTTCAGTTTGTCAATGGACGATATCTCATTAGCAGCTACCCTGAGTTCACGAACAAAAAAATCGTCTTCGGCAATGTTGAACAATTATGAGGTTTTCTGGTCCCTTAACCTCTTGTTAATCAAGCCCCAAAGCTTCTTGGTAACGCCAATAACGTATCTGAATAGCACTAAAGCGGGGTTTACACGATTGCAGCCCATAATTCTTCCAATTCAAAGTATGCTTGTACAGCGAACTTCCATTGCTTATAATTTTCTCGCCTTTTCAGTTTGTCAATGGACGATATCTGATCAGCAGCCATCCTGAGTTCACGAGCAAAAAAATCGTCTTCGGCAATGTTAAACAATTATGAGGTTTTCTGGTCCCATAACCTCTTGTGAATTAAGCCCCAAAACTTCTCGGTAACGCCAATAAAGTATCTGAATCGCACTAAAGCGAGGTTTACACGATTGCAGCCCATAGTTGTTCTAGTTCAAAGTATGCTTGTACAGCGAACTTCCATTGCTCATAATTTTCTTGCCCTTTCAATTTCTCAATGGACGATTACTGACACGCAGACATCCTGAGTTCGCAAACAAAAAAATCGTCTTCTGCAATGTTAAACAATTATTGAGTTTTCTGGTCCCAGAACCTTTTGATAGAGGTGTGACCCTAAAAAACGACCTAAGCTACTTATATCAAAAAAAAAATTCTAATATCTGTCGTGAAAACCGCAGTCCTACTTTCAAAATAGTCTCCAAGAAAATTCCTGGTGAAGATAAATTATGCAGGAGCTTGTAATGTCACAACCGCCGAAACACCAGTCTTCTGTTCGTTCAGTCGTCAGTGAACTGTACCCTATACTTTGAGTGCTTGCAATTCGCTCTAGGAGATAATTGTCTTTTGTTTTGGAAAATTCTTAGATGTGTCCCTGAAAATCCAGTGTGACGTCACAAACACCTAGTTTTGACTTTGAACCGCCCTAACTCGAAAACGGACCATCGTAGCAAGATGCGGTTTAAATATTTATTCTTAGATTTTTTGCACTAAAACTTTAATTTTTGGGTCACACCGTCTATGGTCACACCCCCTCTAAAACCGCACTTGAAGACTCCGGATCGACGCGAAGAGTAGGACTCTTACGACAATTGGTTACCACAACGTTGGAAAATAGTAGTTCTGTTGAAAATTATGTTAATGTCGTCATAACACCCGCAAACAAACTTTCAAATGTTGGTCTAGCTGTCAATGACAAATGGGTGGGCACCATTTTGTTAGCAGGTTTACTTAACACTCTAGCAACTATTCATGAAGAGAGAAGAAGAATAATATTTCAAAATTAAAACGTTTGATATTCATTAAAAGCAACATACTTTTACAATAAATAATATTTATGTTATTATGTTATTCAAATCAGTAACTTGCATAATATAGAACATAATATTAACACCACTTAATCACTAACAGTTTTCTCACTCGCAGACAATTTCTTATGTTTGCTACTAGTTTAGGTACTACCTTTTTACTGAAAAAAATAATAATTTTAAATTCTTCATTTGTTACATTTTTATCAGTGCCCCACTGCCATAAATCAAATAAGGTTGATTTTGGGAAAAAATGTTACTTCCAACTTTAAAATTCTCACCTCGCTACCCCACAAATTACATTAGAGAGATATTGCAAGTGTTAGCCTTAAGATACATCCAGACCGGTGCAACAAACAGAACAAAACGTTCGCGAATTTTTGCAACAAGCATTCCGCTCAGCGCGGATACCGTCTTAACCTTTAGTAAGACCTTATTTTGAGAGTTCATCACGCGCAGGTACTATTTAGAATCAAGACAACCTAAATAAGGATAATAATCAGCCTTATTTGGGAGAAAATAAGGCCTTAATTGTTTCTGCGATATTTCGACCCCGTTTATAGACCTGTAGTAAATGGCCACAATCAGTAGTTATCAGTATCACAAAATAATTTAGTGTTTAAGACCCTAAATTTTTGATTTGAAATGTTTGGATTTTGTCAGGATGTTCTTTTTTATATGTGGATTGTGTGCTTTTTAGCCTTGAATTAACTTCCATTTTTTTCCACTGTCTTCTGTTAACACGTACGGAAGAAAATGATTTACAAAACCACAACAGACAGAAATATTGAGTTGATACAATGAGAGTTTAGTTAATTCTCGACGAGCTGATATATGACACTGATGGCAGAAGCCTAGGTGATCTTATTGCTCGCTGAGGATTAACCAAACTGAAATGGAACAGCTGTAAATAACTGTGTACAAAAAAGTGGATACTGCATAAATTAAACATTTCAAAGCTACTGGCTTTGGCTCAAAACACAAATATTCCAAACATATAAAATTCTTGGGTTAAAAATTATGCAAGAGACTGGCTGACTGTGGTCAATTGACAAGGGGCCATAATAATTTGGAAGAAGAGAAGAAGTAAAAATTATGCATAAGTCATTCGCTTCTGCAATGGTGTTTGCAATAGCACTAACCTTGGCATTAAAAATACGGAAATGCCCTATCAAGGCTAAATAAGGTTTTGTTCTAATTGCGCTGGATTTGCAATATCTTTCTATTATCATTATTGCAGTTTTTCATATTTTGCAATAAAAGCTCCATCAGCACAAAGTATGGCTGAATACAATCATTTGAAATTAAATGTTACATATGTGAAATCAGACGAGGCAATAATTCCGCTAAATCAAACAAATACTTTACTGCTCTTGTACTTTTTCATCTGGTTTCGGAATATAAATGCTCTCTGTTCTTTGATCATATTTAGCAGCCATTCTGGACAATGTCATTAACAAATCAGACAAGCGGTTTAGGTATATTAACGCTTCTTTATCGAGTTTCTGTTCTCTAACAAGTGGACAGACAACACGCTCAGTTCTTCTACAAATAGATCTAGCCACGTGGAGGGATGCACTTGCTACTCCGCCACTCTAGAAACACCGAATTAAAATCTCAATCCTAAGAGTAATGAAATAATAACTCTACTTACAGGTATAATGTATTTTTCTGGAGGAGGCAATTGTTCCGAATATTCGGCGATCCAGTCTTCTAGTTCTTTGGTATACACAGGCGGAATTGTGATTTTTTTGTTTCGAGAGATAGCAGTACTAATATCAATAATTATGGTTTGAATTCTTTTCAGTTTGTCAACATATTCGTGGTCAGATTGGTTTGCGTGTTCCCTGGCTAAACTAAAAACAAATTAAAATAATTAATATTATAGAATTATCTTGATAGTACTGAGGGTAGAGTGCAGGAGAGGGATGGGTAGAAGAAAGACAACTCAATAGTCTTTGGGAAGATCCAAAAAAAATGATACACCACAGGGTATCTCAAATCTTTTTTCCAAACATTTCTCATCAGTATACACCTCTTATGACCACAAGGACTAAGGAGATGAATATATCTGGCGACCTCTCTGTCAATCTGGGTGATATCATTATAGAACCCATAGATGTTTACAACAAAATTTATCAACTCAAAAATGTACGATGTGGTCCAGATAGTGTTTCTTCTAAAGAACTGCATTTGTTTTTTTTTCTTTTATTTTATCTCAATAAATTCCTATCAACTGGAAAGTTCCCTAATATTTGGAAATTGAGTTATGTAACTCCAACTTTCAAAAGTGGTGACCTCGGTGACAATTGTGATGTAAAGAATTACCGCCCTATCTACAAAATCTCTATTTTGCACAAACATTTTTGAAGCTATCATATGACTGACAAAATTACACCTTTGCTTAAACATTTAATTACACCAGAACAACACGGTTTTATGAGGGGCAAGTCAACCACCTCAAATTTGTTGGAGTTTGAACAGGTCCTCTTATTGTCTGTAGTTTTTTATCTGACACTTTCCGTATGAGGAGCGAGGGGGTGAAGATATGGCAAATACAGGTGTAAAGTCACGTGACTATTGGCGTTCTAACGTAGAGAGCCACCAGCTCTGATTAAAATTGACGGATTGTAGATGCCTTGGAGGGGGATATCAGGTGGACGTTATCTATACCGATTTCTCTAAGGACTTCGACAGAGTCGATCATAATATCTTTCCAAGAAAATTATTAGCACTGGGCTTTCATGGGAGATTTTTTGAATGGCTTATTGACTATCTTTCATATAGGAAACAAAGCGTTAAAATTGATGTAATTAAGGTAACGTCAGGAGTCCCTCAGGACTTCAGGAGGGCGGGCATTTGTCTCCTCTCTTATTCAATTTATTCTTGAATGATGTTAAACAAAACTTTGTAAGTTATTAATTTTTAAACTTTGCAGATGCCTAGAATTTTTTTATCGTAGTTCAAGGTTTGCAGGATTGTGATGTGCTGCAGAAGGAGCTAAATAGGTTTTTTGAGTGGTGCAAATTAAATAATCTTCCTTTAAATATCGATAAGTGTAAAATGATGGCCTTTAGTCGTCTAAAAAAGCCTTTCGTTTTCAACTATTCCATCAATAATGTTACACTAGAAAGAGTGCATGTTATTAGAGACCTTGGGGTGTTTTTAGATGTAGAATAGAATTTTTATGAGCATATAGATAGGATTTCTAATAAAGCAATGAGGCTATAAGGTTTTGTTTTGCGCAATTTGAAGGATTTTAATAATATTTTTACTCTGAGAAACGCATATTCTGCAATTGTTAGGCAAGTACTAAAATACTCCAATCCAGTATGGTCTCTCTTTTACAAAAAAATCAAAAGTATGCAATAGAGAGAGCTCAAAGAAAATTTTTGAGGCAAATTGCATTTAGATTGCATATCAATTTATGACTATTGACTACAATGACATTTTATCCCTTTTGAACATTGCATTTAGATTGCATATCAATTTATGACTATTGATTACAATGACATTTTATCCCTTTTGAACATGCAAACTTTAGAGCAAAGAAGAGACCAGCAAGACATGTATTCTATACAAAATCATAAATAATATACTGTCACCAGATCTGTTATCACTTATTGATTATCATGTACCTAGAGTTTGTAACGCTAGAACATACAGGCTATTTTATATCAAACATCATCGAACTAATTATAGCTTAAATTATCTCATTGTAAAATTATGTTTTTTTTAGTAAGTAACTCTTGTTTTTATAAATAGGTTTTATTACTCAGTGGGTTTTACCCAAAAAAACTTGTGACACAGGTCACCCAAATACAGATGCGTAAGTAAGGGACCTTGCTGTCGATTCAAAAGCTACGAAACCTCGCCCCTCCCGCTAGGGGGCTGGCCACTTGTCCAATAGTATGGGGGTCTATGTCACAAATCACCTACATATAGATGCGAAAGAGCGGTGAATTCGCGGTTCACGGTTATATGTAAACACAACTGGCTGAAACACGCTCATGCACTATAAATGATCGGTCGCGTTAGCGGCATGGAAGGCGGCTGCCCTGGTTCCGTAGATTTGACTCGTCGACGGCAAGGATACTCACTTACGCATCTGTATTTAGTTGATCTGTGCTTGTGATAAAGTAGCTTACAGATAATCCTATTATACCCGAGGAATAAACCACTAGTGGAAATCATTGTACATTTCTTTGGGAATCACATAGTAATCAATCAGGAATACATGGAAATCACTTGAGAGTCCCTGGGAATCGCTAGGAATCTTCTAGGACTCCATGGGAATCACATAGGAATTTATTGACAATCACTGTGAATCGCGGTAATCGCTGGGAATATCATTTCATTTTAAACGACACAGTGTACCAGTTAGTTGTGTCGTATTTGTCTTTAAGACTAAGTTTTAGGCAACATTGAGTGCTAGACAGTTTGCAATGTATTTGATATCCCAACGAGTTTCCTAATAAATGAGCCAATAACCCAAGACTACAAAGAGTTTAGTAGAACTTGAAAAAGAAGAAGAACGAGATGAAGATTACGTCTATTCTCACAGAAATCACAAATCAGTCAGAGCGTTTTTGATTGGTCCAAATCGCCAACAACCAGTTTTCTAACTATTTTCAACAAATGAAATTCTCTCTGACTGGTTTGTGACTTCTGTGAGAACAGAACTAAAGTATGACAATGTTGTAGATCATAAAAATGCAAACATGAATCTTGAAAACCTCTTTCAAATCATTGCCCAAAAAAGACACAGAATCATCGAGGAAATCAGGTAATCAATTGGGAATCGAGTTGAGAATGATCTAGAAATCCTCGGAAAAAATGAAAATCACCAGGTAATCGTACAAAAATATCTGAAAATCATTGATCAGTGATTGCCAAATATGGAAATCATTGTACATTTGTAAGCATAGTGGTTGATCCTCGGGTTGGTTGACCCCTCGATTATTCTTATTCTGCAATGTTCCTTGTTGTCTATTACTGTTGAACCTGATTATTCACAAAAATGTTTTTTTCTATTAAGTATTGTAATAATTGTAAGCATTTCAAAATGACACTGTCCTTGATATATTTATTTATTTATTTATTTATTTTTATTATAAATATATATTTAAATATATTATAAACTCGATTATAAATTATCTCTGGCAAATGAGAATTTTAGTTTTTACAACTGTTTTTTATTCTAATATGTCTGAAATACCAATACACTGAGAATAGTTCTGATATAAATTTATCAGTGTATCCCCTTATGAAAACCTTGATATCTTTCTTCTAAAGAAAACTTGAAGAATGAATGCTACCAGGCTATTATCGAATCCAAATTCCTCACATAACTTACTCAATAGAATAATTGTATGGGACACACATAGGTACACCTTAGCAAAATCTGTGTAAATTAGTTCAACTTGAAAATTGTTGTCTAGGCTTTCAGCTCTATACATTGTGTTATATTACACAAATTATTGATTGCGGATTTTTTACTCCATGGTATGGTTGCCACCTGTCCGGTTTTCACCCGGACTGTCCGTTTTTTTAAAGGTATGTCCGGTGTCCAGACGCATGATAAAAATGTCCGGGAATATCTGGATAACTATAGAATTAATAATAATTAATACTTAACAGAAAATTTATAAAGGCGATTGCCAAACGCCTTAGGATATACCCAACTAATTTCTGAACCTACCTACTTCTTGAATGACTGGTGTGTCACGAACGTCTCCAGTTACCATTTAGTGATGGAAAAGTGGACTTTTTCTGCCTAGGCAGAAAAGTTCGTTGCTATCCATTCAACAAACGTTATCGTTATCAGCGCAATTGATAAACATAAAAAAGTGGATTATGCATGAAATTGTAACAAATTCGGAGAAAAAATTATATGTTTCACACGGCAGAAGATCAGATTTAATGCCTTATTGGCTGGTCTCCTAGCTTCGCCTTCGATTATGGAACACAAGCCGCGTCATTGAATATTGTGCTTTTCTGCCTAATAAAACAAATAATTATGTAAGTATTGTGTCGTTCTCCCTCTTCACTTACAAGTATCCCTGTTTTTTTTTTTTTTTAATTTAAAAATAGACCGTAACTACGAGGGGTGGCGTTTGAAATTAAGTAAGTACCTTTTTAATTTTTTTTCTAAAAATTCATTATACTGATACGAGTATAAATTATGCTACAAAAAAAGTTAAAGTATGTTTTTTTTAAAGATAATTGCCCAAGTCAAAAATTCAGTAACATTGGCAACACAAGCCTTTTCTACATAAAAAATTTGAAGGCATTGACAATTTTACATTGTATTGCCAATAGAATGTCATTTTGACTTTTATCTTAAAAAAAAAAACAGACTTTAGCTTCGATTATGTACGGGTTTTCGGAAATCAAAGGGTGGCAACCATTCTCCAAGGTAGTAGGGGACAGGTGGTACTGGTACACTTGATAGCATTGTCACCTGTCCTCACCTCACCTGAGCCAAAGAAGTGCATGTACTTTGGAGTATAGGTCTTGTCTTACCCAATATAACTAAGAAGTTCTTCTGTAGCTCCTATAGCGTGAAAAATGTGATCATCCTTGGGCAACAATGCCCCCATAATGGTTTTAGAGGTGCCATTATCGCCTTCTCTGCTGAATGTTTCCTGAACTAATGGCTTCTTGCCACTTCCTTTAGGATTTTGTGGCTCAGCCCCTTTGTTTGCTCCTTGGTTTGCTCTGAAAGGTGAAAAAATAGGCGGGTTGATATTTTTGTTATCAACTATCAACTCGGACATACCCTTTATTGCTGCAATAATGACGAATTTGATTTAGGGTCCTGAATGTGATAATTCTTCTAAAACCCATTTTTCTTTTCTAAGCAAAATCTGTTAAAATGTTAAAAACAGGGAAATTTTTGATTATAATTCACATAACCTACAAAGGTTCAAATGTTTGTTGTTTTTTGTTTTCAAAGGGGGCATGTCAAAATCACACAAGGACACTAGGACAAAAGGATAGCGCATTTTCTCAAATCATTTTTATACGAAAAAGTGACGTCACGACAAAACGCAATTTTGAAAATTTCAACGCGCTAAAATAATTAAAAAGTAGTTTTTAATAATGAATAAGCTGAATTTGCGAAGCCGGCGTGAGAACACTTAACCATAGGACTGCTTATTGAGCTGAAAAGTGTCTGCCATATCAGGCGCAAACCTCAACTATTGGCGTAAAATGCATTTAGCCAAGTTTAAAACACTATGCGTGAAGAAAACGAATTTCTAAACGTTAAAATCACCTTTCCTACATTCAAGAATCGATGAAAAAATTAACTCACAAACACAGCCTGAACCCATTCCATTGAGTTCTGCGGGTGACGTCAGCACTATTAGTTGCTGGGAGTTGTGACGTCACTCGCAGACCTTGTCTACTCGAGAATTTTCGAACGTAAGGGTATTTGATTATATTTGGACCCATACCTATAGCATTTACTATTTAAAGATAGAAAAAAAATGTAAATACAAAACTTGACAGTTTTTTTCTATATTTTCTTTTAACGATATCAGAGAAAACAAAACCGCATCGGAGAATGGAGAAACGTAGGCAACTTCGACTTTTTTTAATGGAACACTTTATATATTATGCGATAAAATTAAAGATCTTTTCTTCCTGAATCTGGGATACTCAGTAATACGAGCCCGAAGGGCCGGAGTTATACGCGAGTTCGAAGGGCTAGAGTTATTTTAATCACGGGGCCCAGTCTATAATTCTATTGGTCAGCGGATAATTTGGAGCCAATCAAAAATTGGAAATATTCAAAATGTGATTTTTAGTCGATATTCCGAGTTTCAGTTCTCACCGATGTACCAGAAAAAGTTAGCCTCCCCATCTTTCTTGATTTTGAAAATTTTTTCCCGAATTTCCAAAAAAAAAAAAAATACCATTGGATAGAGGAGCAAAAAAAAAACGTTGAAAAGCTTATGAGACCCTGCTTGCTATGACGCATTTTAGGGCCGGGAAAAAATTTAAAAAGGATATTTCGATTTTGGCCAGATAAAAATGTCGGCGATCTGACACGACGTTACTTTTTCGCTTATAGCTCCGCTATTTCTCAACCGATCGTTTCGAGTGATATCTCTTTTGAAAGAAAATGAAATTACCTATAAATTTTTTTTTTATTGAGATTCCAGGCCGTTTTCGTCTTTGAGCTGTCAAAGTTGAAATTCTATGTAATTTTGTTAAAATTTTCCAGGTCGATTTCCTCGAAAACGGTGTCCCGTGGCGGGATACTTCTCATAGGCTTTTTTGTAGTACTCGACGAGATCTATAAGTTTTGTATTTGAAGTTTTTCTCCCGAGCATTTTGTTTTCGAGTGAGGACGCTTTGAAAATAAAAAAATCAAATTTTGAGTTTAAAAAAAAAAAAATTCTATCGGATAGAGGAGCAAAAAATACGTCGAAAAGTTAATTTGATCCTTCTCGCTATGGCACATCTCAGGGCAGAAAAATAATAAAAAAGGAAATGTCGATTTTGACCAGAAAAAAATTGTGGTTACCCGACACGAGGCCACTTTTTCGCTTACAGCTCCGCTATTTCTCAACCGATCGTTTCGAGTCATATCTCTTTTGAAAGAGAATGAAACTACCTACAAAATATTTTTTTATTGAGATTCCAGACCGAAAACGGTGCCCCGTGGAGGGATACTTCTTAAAGGCTTTTTTGTAGTATTTGACAAGATCTACAATTTCCATTTAAGGTTTTCCTCCCGAGCTTTCTGTTAGACGGCCCCATATATTTTTTTTTTCGAAAAAATTCAAATTTTGAATTTCGAAAAAAAAAAAACATGGGAAAGAGAAGCAAAAAATACGACGAAAAGTTAATTTGACTCTCCTCGCTACGGCGCATCTTAAAGCCGGAAAAAATGAAAAAGGGAATTTCGATTTTGACCAGAAAAAAAATTGTGGGTAGGTACCAAACCGACATGAGGCCACTTTGTCAGAATTCCTGTCAATCCTGTCTTGCAATTATTCTGACATTAGAGGTCGACTGGATGAGGCTAGATAGACTCTCACATGCTTCACTGAAATCTAGCATTCAAATGGACCACGGATCTGAGCGTCCAATAGAAATGCCGGAAACATATCGAACCACTACTGGCGTTCAGCGACCATAGTCTCGAAGAGCAGCTAGCCGCACGCATAGTTGAAAACTGCCATCCTTCCTTTTTTTATCTCTGTTTTATGCATTAAGAGTTCCATGTTACTTTTCTAGTCGGAAGTTGTAGAATTATAGTTAATTGGTATTCGTTTGCATCGGGTTCATTGTAAATTATTGTGCAATTCTGCATCTTGTTGCAGAAAGTACATAATTATTATCGTAATTAATCATAATTATCAATTTGTGAATTCCTTTTTTATTTTTTATTTTTCATCAAAATTAACTCTGAAAATATATACTTACATGAAGAAAAGGAACATTTTCTCGAGTATTCATGGTTTTTATTTAATTTGAGATAAATTATACTGAGGGCGTCGGTACCCCAAAACAAATTTTGCCTGCTGCGCAGTGGTTACCTCTCCGTAATTCATTAGTCACTAGATACTTGCGAACTACTAGTAGGAATATGTAGGAAAGGAAAGAGGAAATAACAAACATAAACCAAAGCAGCTGAAAAGACTTGTTGATTATGACCAAGAATGTGTAGAATCGGTATAAAAGTCAACCGCCACCCATCCACAGGCATCGAGCTTGAGGAAGCTGCTGATAATAAGGTTAATTTCGTTCAGTGTAAACTGCACCACAGTAGGGCGGCTTCGGCAACCTTATGCCGCCACCTGGATGTGGCGCAAGACACAATAGCACTTATCCAAGAACCTTGGATAAGCCAAAGTAAAATCACAGGTTTAATTAGGCACACTAACTGGTCGATCTGCAGCTGGTGATTGGGTGTGACTCCAACTCGTACCACATGAACTGGGGAAGTCAGGATATAAATCCAAGAGGAAAGTCTCTGTATGACTTCATAATAGGTAATGATCTGTTCATATGTAATAACGGCACAATACCAACTTTCTTAAAGTCTCGTAGTCGAACTGTAATAGGAATAACACTATACTCAGTATTAATATCAAATTCAATCTATAATTGGAGCGTATCTGATTAAACTGCTTGCCAAAACTACAAGACCTTATTGTGACCCTGGAAAAACCAATATTGCACAGTACGTGCAAGGTCTGGAAAGGGCTCTATGAGAGGTTGCAGTTAAAACACCCAATGATGACCAAGAATTGGAGCGGTATGCCAATACCATTCAAGGTGCCATCATAAAGTCCTATAAGATGTCGATCCCACTGAGAATGTTCCAAAACTCTGGTAACACCTCTGCACCTTCACTGCCAAGCTTCAAGAAAGCACAGAATAACTGTAGCAACCCACTTTCCTGACTCCACAACCACAGTTGTGGAGGATCACGCACGTAACATACATACCCTCTGTGGCTGATTGGCAACTAGCGAATCAGATAATATACGACGAAAAAATATATTGGGCAATTTCAGGCTTCTTTGCCTTCAAACCACCAGACCTGGCGGTATCTATCCAGCCCTACTTCAGTGTGATCTGGAGCCACTCTTGCTACACCTGGTAGAGATGTTCAGGGCTCCCTTGGCGCTGAGGCCTGAGATACATACCCAACGCTTGGAGAGAAGTTAAAGTGGTGTTCCTACCCAAACCAGGGAGGATGGACTGCATCACCCCCAAAGCATATCGCCCCATGATCATAGCAAAGGCAGTCAGGGCTGCCGATGCTCTACCTAGGAGAGCCGCCAGGCTACAGTCTTCTGGACCTGAGCCCTTCGTAGGACTGACCATGTCGGCGGCCAAAGGTATGATTAAGGGCCATATTCTCCGTAGTTCATAACGCATGGCTTAGTGGAAACGATTGGATTTTTGTGTGACAAAGCCAAGCTTTTCTACTAAGGGCGGGTATTATAAAACTACTTTGAGAGTTAACTTCTAGAATTACATGTAATTCAAAAAGTTAACTTCAAGTTAACTGTCAAAGCATTTTTATAATACCCACCCTAAGCCAGGCATTATGAACTACGGAGAATATGGCCCAAAGAAACGCTCCCACACCCTTTTCAAAAAGCGCTGGGACGATACGATTGGCTGCAACTTATCCAAGGAACTGCTAAGCTACCCAGACAAAGCTGCAGCGAGCCAGAAACTGTCGTTGACCAGAAAAAGGCTACGCCTAATAAAGGGCATCTTGACTGGCCACTGTCAGTTAAAGAAACATTTGTTTAGGTTGCATCTCAGTACCACACCCTTGTTTGTGCAGGGCTTGTAATCAAGAAGGCTAGACGATAGAGCACATTCTCTGTGACCGTCACTTTCTATAATCAGAGAAAATTGTCCTGATGAACGCGAACGCGACCAATAATTTTACCAATTTAAATTTGAGCGGTTACGGTTACTTGCAGCATGTCGAACCGGAGCATGATGAAAACGCATGCATAGGTATTCTATTCTGTCCTCTATTCATTCCTTTCGCGATCGCGTCCCAGTAAACAACAAGAAAACTGAAAAATGTAACATTATTTTTTTATTAGCTCATAAAGTGAAGGTGTAAAGAATTAAGTGAATTTACTATTTAGAGGAGTATATAGGACAGATAAAGACTATAGAACAAGACCTGCATGATAGCGGCCAAATATTCTAGTTGAAGAGCCGAGCCAAATTTTATTATAGAATTGAGAAAGGGAATAGGAGCTTTTACCTTTTACATTGGTAAGTTCAATATACATAATATGTACCTATTTAGAGATTTACCTAAACCCGTAAACCGTATATTTCATGCTCCTTGAATAAACTACATGTCTTTGTGATAAGTGAAAAGCCATGATTCAGCTTGTTGCAATGCAATGATTGCTTCTCACTTATCACAACGAAGTGTAAGGAATACTTTTGAAAATTCTCGAAATATGAATTATGAAGTTTAACGGCCGTAGTATATTTATGAGAAGGAAATCACAGGGATCTCGGCCAAAATAGTCCATATAACGTCAATTATCAATTATTATTTTATTTATTTTTATTTGTGTATAAGAAATATCAGGTTTTTTAGGGTATATAGGAGTATTAAGAAACTATTTTGACAGATAACTAAATGTTAACTTCTGGAATTACTATGAAAAATAACGTCGTTCCAGAAGTAACTTCTAGTTATTCTGTCAAAATAGTTTTATAATACCTCGTATAATACCCACCCTAAGTTGTAGTTTTTTTGTTGTTGTTGAGTTCAGAGTTATGTTTTCATATTCTTAAACTGGAATTTTTATTTACCTGCTACATTTCACGTTCCTACACATATGTATAAAAGATACGAGCACTAAAACTTTAGATCACTAAATGGCCATTGCACGGCTATCACTTAAAGGATATTTAGTCTAAGCGGAGCTTTGAATGTGAATTTTGTTTCTACAAAAGTCACATTCAAAGATTAACTTGGATTAAATAGCCCTTAAGTTATAGCGGTGCAAATGGCTGTCAAACCTGTTATCGCCATACCAACTTTATATGTTTGTAACATTTTATTAAATTTACCATAAAGTTATTTTGAATTTTAATAATATAGTGTGTCCCTTAAGGACTGACCACCCTTCTAAAATTTTTATTTTTTAACCGATTCAATTCATTTTTTTTTGTCTTATAGCTACTGGAATTTTGCACTTATTAGGCTCATAATTTTATTTCTGCGGCTGTACTGGTGTACACGGTGTCCACATTTATAGGCTCAAATTTCAATAAGTACCATTAGGGATTTTTCTAGAAAAAATCTGATAGCAGATTCTGGTTTCGAATGGTCTAAAACCTAAATGTACTAATTTTTGTTTCAATATGATACAAGGTGATCACAACAAATTTTCAAGATTTAATGGACCAAACCGGAAAAATGTCATTTTTTGAGGCCTTGAGAACAACAAAACTTGGTACAACATAGTTTTAGAACATCCTCAACCAAAACTTGTAGTAAGCTTGTCTCTAAATATAACATTTTTGTGGTTTGATTCATTAAATCTTGAAAATTTGTTGTGATCACCTTGTATCATATTGAAACAAAAATTAGTACATTTAGGTTTCAGACCATTCTAAACAAGAATCTGCTATCAGATTTTTTCTAAAAAAATCCCTAATGGTACTTATTGAAATTTGAGCCTATATGTGGACACCCTGTACACCAGTACAGTCGAAGAAATGAAATTATGAGCCTAATAAGTGCCAAATTCGAGTAGTTATAAGACAAAAAAAAAAAATGAATTGAATCGGTTGAAAAATTAAAATTTTAGAAAGGTGGTCAGTCCTTAAGCGGGACACACTGTAGATAACAGAAAACAGATGAACTAATTCAGGTAATTAAAAATATAAATAAATATCCAAATTTTGATATATCCAAGATGGCGACCAATGTGTTGCTTGGGGAAAATGTTCCTCCTGATATTATTTATTATAAGTGCCATCCAAAAGAGCAATTTAAGGCCGTTGTGTGTGTGATATGTGAGAATGTTTATCACAAAAGTGACTTCGAAAGAACTTTAAAAAAAGGTGCTATTTATATTAGTAAAGTTTTAGTGATATGCGAAGAACACAAAGACATAAAACTCAAGGACTACAATAATGAGATTGAAAACGAAAACACTGAAAACAACAAAAATTTGAAAATAGCTTTAGCGCAATTAAGGCTTATCTGTGCCAATTCAAATAATAGCAACGATGGTGAAAATAAGAATGAAGAAACTAAAAGTAAACAAAGGAAGGTTCCCCAGTCGCAGGAACTAACCTCACTTAAAAATAGGATTGAAATTGAACAAATCCAAAACAAATCTCTTCTGGAACAAAACCAAGTGCTTCTTGAGCAAAACAGTACGTTAAAAGAATTGAATGAAGAATTAAAAGAGAAAAATGTTCTGCAAAAAGAATTGTTACAAGAAAGGAAAAGTATGAGTTTTGCTAACGTAACTGCAGGTAGTCCAAGTCTAACCAAGGCTGAAAATATACCTGCAATTATTGCTGAAGTTCGCAACAAAGAATGTACTAGAAAAGTTACTGATCAAATAAAAAGTGTTATAAAAAACAAAGCTAGTCAAGTACCTCTCGAACTAGTAAGTAGTAAACACAGTAGTAATAGGATTATAATTAAGTGCAAAAATAAGGAAAATGTAGATAGCATACACACAATACTTAGCACTGCTGCTAATGATATGTTTAGGGTTAAAATTGAAAAAAAGAATGATCCTTTATTAAAAGTTGTAGGAGTGGAAGTTGATTTCACTGACTATGACGATATTAAAAATGAAATAATCACCAAAAATAACCTAAATGACAATCATTCCATAGAAATTAAGTATATTTATAGTACCAAAAAACAAACAAAAACAATTATCATGCAAGTAAATGCTGAGGCTTACAAATTTTTAATACAGGAAAAAAAAATCTACATAGGTTATAGGAGATGTATGATCTATGATGAATTTAATATGCAACAATGCCAGAAGTGTGCTTACTTCGGGCACAGCACAAGTAAGTGTCGAAATAGTGCTAAATGTTTTAAATGTGCAGGGGAACACCTCACGAAAGACTGTGATAAGGTAGAAATTGTATGTATAAATTGCCTAATGGCTAATAAAAAACTAGAAAATAAAAGAAACACCAACCATACTGCAAATGATATACAGAATTGTGAATCTTACAAAGCAATGATAGGGAAAGTTATTGAGAAAACAGATTACCCAATAAAACCTAGTTTAAAATAAAATAAATGGATTTTACACGAAATCTTGAAATAAATGATTTTACAGCACTTAATGAGGAAATTGTTGGCAGCAAGCTGATAATTTTCCATACCAACATTAGAAGTTTAAATAAAAATGTCGATGAGCTTTGGTTGAATTTGAACAGAATGCAGACTAAGCCACACATTATTATATGTACTGAGACTTGGACTTTACAAAATGAAGCTTTTTACCAAATTGATGGGTATAGAAACTACTACAACAATGGTCAAATAAACAAGGCAGATGGAGTCATGATTTATATTGATACAAATTTGATTGAAAATACTAAAATGGTGCATATTGGTGAGATCACAGCATTACAAACAACTATATTTTGTAACAAAGAAACTTTATTTATTACTTCAATATATCGATCACATGACACAAATATGCACAACTTCATTACAAACTTGGAAAAATACCTAGGATCATTTAAAAACAATGACACTCATTACGTCTTTGGAGATATGAATTTAGACATTCTGAATCCAGATTTGTGCGGTGATTTATACCTCAACAATTTCTATGAGAAAAAATATGTCCCATTGATATCTTCCATTACGAGGCCAACTAGTGACGGTGGTTCCTGTATTGATCACATTTTTGGGAACAAATTCGAGAATGTTAAGTCAGTTGTTTTGAAAGAAATGATTACTGACCATTGCCCAACCATTCTACTGTTAAAGGATTCATGTGATGGTGCCATTGAAAAAAACTGTGATTTTGTTGATTTTCAAAGATTAATAACTCTTGCTGCAAACCGACAGTGGAACAACTTAGTTAATAATGATGTTAATATTAGTGTAAATAACATAATAGTTCAAATAAAAGATCTATTAAGTTTATCGACCAGAACTTTCAGACATAGATCAAATTGTATTAAACGGAAAACTTGGATAACCAGAGGCCTCATTGTTTCATGTAAGCATAAAAATAATCTTTATAAGCGGTGGTGTGAAAACAGGGATAATGTTTATTTGAAAAATAAATATCAGTCTTACAACAAAATACTGCAAAAACTAATTAAAACTGCAAAAAATCATTATGAGCAAAAATATGTTGAAAATCACTGTACAAATAGTAAAAATGTTTGGAAATACATTAATTCTAAATTAGGAAAAAATAAATTTAAAGGAAATGAGATTAAAGAGATCAAATCCAACAACACCATCATCACTTCTTATAAGGATATTGCTAATCAATTTAATAATTATCTTAATAGTATCGGTATAGAAATGGCAAATAAAATACCAAAGTCTAAAAGCCGATACAGAGGACAAAACAATCAAATTAGGGATTCTATTTTTCTATCACCCACTGACAAAGATGAGATAACTAATGTCATAGGTAATCTTAAGAAAGGCGCGGCCGGTGGGATTGATGGTATTTCAGTTGCTGTTTTGCAAAAACTGAGTCCATTTATTGCCCTTCCTATTTCCGAGCTGATAAATCAAATTATATCTACTGGTATTTGCCCAGAACATTTCAAGAAAGCTGAAATTGTGCCAGTTTTTAAGTCAAATGACAAATGTCTGGTTTCAAATTATAGACCTATTTCACTTATCTCAAATGTTGCAAAAATTTTTGAAAAAGTTATCCACTTGAGATTATGTAATTTTGTTGAAAAGAATAGAATATTAAATTCAAATCAGTTTGGATTTAGGAGGAAAATGTCAACGAATAATGCGCTACAGTTGTTTTCGGATACCATTTATGGGCTTTTAGACCAAGGAAAACCAACCATGGCAGTATTTTTAGACCTAGCCAAGGCCTTCGACACTGTAGACCACAACTTACTTTTAGAAAAACTATATAAGATTGGAATTAGAGGCACTGCAATTGACCTTCTAAAGGATTATTTAAGTGATAGAAAACAAACAGTAAAGATAGGTAATGTATACAGTGATGAACTTTCTGTTAAGATAGGTGTCCCCCAGGGTACAATTCTGGGGCCAT